CGGTATTAAGGACAAGTGGTCACAGGTGGAAGAGAATGACGCTCAAATGAAGACCCTCCCCGTCTTCTATTCGCCTCTGTCATGTGGAGGGATGTATGTCATTGTAACCCGTTTTTTTTCATGCCTGTGGATATAATGACCCAGATGAGAGCCACACATACACACACACACATACTGACACATTTTCACACACACACACACACACACACACACACACACACTCACACACACACTCACACACACACACACACACTACTGAAAATGCTGACAATGTTGGTCCCCTCCTCTTCAGTGGTAAATGAAGCTGATGAGTCCAAACAATGGCCGTGACAGCTTAAATAATGAGTCTATACTGACAAAAGCAGTAGGACCCGTGAACTGTTCTCTTCTTTTTGAAAGGTTACATTCATCCGCAGAGAAAGATAAATGTTGTGCGAACGAAGCTCCATTATGTACTGGATAATGCTAATGTCTGCCTCGTGCTGCACTCCCTTCCCAAATGCTAAGAAATTAACAGCAATACACACATCTTGTGTTGGTGTTAATGGTAAAATGGCAACTATTGTCCACCATTCTGAAGGTAGTAGTGGACCTTGCAAAGCACATGCACTGCTTTTCGCAACATGACGGCCATCTAGCTGTTACATGCGTAAACTGTTTCTTGGGAAAGAATAACTGTGAGAGAGGATAAGTGGCATCAAGCTAGTTACACCATGAACTCCCATTAAAGGCCCATGTGTAGGACTTTTAGTGGCTCTATGAGGAGTGCACCAACCTGACAATACTTCTCACCCTATCCCAAAATCTGTATACATCGGACCTTTAAAACCAAATTGTGTGTAACATTTAAGAGGATCTATTGGCAGAAAGTAAGAAATATTGTGTGTATTACTTTAGAACGAGCCTGGGCTTTTTGGTTGTTTGGCGTCTCCTACATGCCTGGAAGGCTGAGCTATATTCAAAAGGTTGCAATCTGCAATTTCACTGCTAGATGCTACAAAGGTATACACACAGTGGTCCTTTAACTACTTGAGAGTGGTTTCAGGGGACCAAATGTTGGAACTATTAAGTTAAAGTGCAATAGCTGATTTGTTTTGGGGTTTTTTTGTATGAAGTGTTGCCTACGTACTCATCCAGCAGTTACAGATCATTCATTCTGACCATTAGTCCTGTTTCTGCCCACCCGGTGAGTAAGTCCAATATTCCCTCTCCTATTAGTTCTGTTTTGCTCTTCACCAGCGCCTAAGGAAATAAATGCTCTATGGTAACAAACTGTTAACCTACTACTGCTCATCGTGGCAGCTTTACAGGTTTAAAACAACTTGGAGACAAACTATTTTTCTAAATATATCTGAATAAATATGTTGCTCCTAATACATAGTATTAGCTAAAAACAAGTTTTCTGGGACTGTTTACTTTCCCCAAACATTTCACTGGTAAACATCTCAAATTATTTATTAAACTTTTTTGGAAGAAACAACTTCGCTTTGATTTGTGATTAGTGAAACAAGCTTGTAAAAATTCTGAAGCAACTCGTGCCATTTGTGTTCATCTTCAGTAGCAGTGAATCTGCGCATGCACGCACACACATTTAATTCAACATCAAATATCAGAGATGCACACATGCTTTTACATTCTAAAGCGCATTCGGCTGTGAAGTCCTCTGATCAAAATCAAAGACCCACACCATGTGCACATGCATTCTGCTGTGTGTGAGTGTGTATATGTGTTACATGTGTGCCTGCAATATCTCCTGTTTGTGTGTATGTGTGTGTGGGTTTGTGTGTGTGCCCCAGCTGTCTCACAGAGCTCCCTGTTGTTTGGACTGCCGTGGCAGACGGAGCCAACGCTGTAAACTCTGTGGATCGATGCTCGTTTGGAGGATTTCTCTATTTAATTCCACCTAAGTCAGCAGCACTGCATCCTCTTCTCTGTGTGTGTGTGTGTGTGCACACTTTGGTGCATGAATGTGTGTCCTTGTGTGTGCACATGTGTATCTCTATCTTCATATTGAGTTGTCTGTGTGAGCTCGTGCAGAGGAATGCTGCAGGAGGTCTTAGTGTGTGTGTGGATGCTAACATCTATGTGTGCACTTCTGTTACACACACACACACACACACACACACACACACACAAAGAGCCAGGAGTCTTGCAGCAGTGGCTAAAGACACACACCAACAGTCTGTCTAGCACCTCCCCCTTGCTTTCATTATACTCACAATGTTATTATATGCACATACACCAACATCAGCATATTGATTTATCCTCCACGCTACCTGCTTTCATTTAATATGCTAACACACATGCACACACACACACACACACACACACACACACACACAGGTAAATGCAATAAACGCATGCATGATGGCACATACATACTCTGACACCACAGCTGCGCACATTAACACACTTATATGCACCATCACAGAAGAGACACCAGCCGCCCCCCCCAAAAAAACCAAAACACAAGCTGTTAGCTTTTCTCCACACCAGTTACCTCCCCCCTTTCCGCCACCATCCCTCCCTCCCATTGTCACATCAGGGATTTCCAGAGTTCCCAACACGTTGCCGCCATCACGGCCCTGCAGATGTCACTTAGCTGCAGACACACCTCTTCATTTCTCCATCCATCCCTCCGGCTCTCATGGGACACAGAGGAGGGACAGAACAGGGAGCAGTGAGTGCATGTGTGTGTGTGTGTGTGTGTGTGTGGCTACAGAGGGGGGAAGGGAGCCGGGCAGGTTAATGAATTAGTAATTAGAATTGACAGTGGGTTTCCCCCAAACTATTTCTACCACTCTCTCTCCGGTCATCTGTGCATCCTCTGAACTCTCTTTGTCATCTTCAACCCTATGCCCCCTCTTCCCCTCCCCTCCTCGTCTCTCTCTCTCCTTGCATAACCCCCCTCTACCTGTCTCTGCTGGGCCTCGCCTCCCTAACCTTCTCCTCCCCTTGTCTTCAAACACACACCAGGCTCTTTTGTTCTGTCCACAACCTTGCTCTTGTTTTATGCATTTCTTCTCTTAATTCCCCCTCTTTCTCTCTTCCTCCTGTCTTCTTATCCCTTTTTTTCGGCCGCTCAATTCTTCTTCTGTCTCCTTCTAATGTGGTATTGATCACTGGAGATCACTGGATTGGAGGCTGAGGTTCTCAATCCATGCAGACGCTACATTAAAGCTTGGCACTTATACATTATAAGGGCCGTATTCAATATCCACGAAGAAAACACTGTAAAAAATTTGGCAGCAGACAGCATAGGACCATATGTGCGACTGTATACTGCCTTCATGCTTCTGTTTATGACCTTGAGGTGCACCAGTAATAGGGGACTCTCAAAGCACTGTACTGTATCTTTTAAAGACAATACAAATGGTTTGGATCTTGGCTTGATTTAACTGTGCTGGTTTTACACGTGGGAGATGAGTGAGAGTAAAAGAGCAGGTTGAAAAGGGAATGAAAAATGGGTGGTGGGCATATGCTGGTAGAGTGGAAGAAATGTCCTCTGTACTTTGTCAAGGACGGAGTGGACAGAGGCTAATTTATAGTTTTGTGCTGGCAGATAACATGAATTGCTTGTTCCTCAGTAAGGCCGAGATGTTTTAACATTTTCTGTTAAATCCTCTGCCTTTCGACAAACCAAACATTGCAGCGTCATCACAGGCTCACAGCAGACAGCACAATACAAAAATCAGACCCCCAATCCTCAGCTTGACAAAGGCATGTGGGCACAAACACATACATATACAATATAAACATAGACACACAAAAGAATGTACACTCTATTAATAACAAAGTTTTTCAGAAAATGTCAGCTAAACTGAAAGCTATTCATCTTTGTTCTCCAGCCTACATAACTGATTGTCTTCTTTACAGTGGTTTAATTAGTGGTATTTCTCTTTTGGATAGGCTGTAATTATAGTCCTGCCACAATGGAAGAAGTATTGACAGTCTCCCCTGGGAATGAGTACCAAGAGGAGCTGACAAAGATCAGCAGAAAAATAATGTAAATACCGCAAGTAATGAGTGTCTTCTGTGGTCGGAGTAACTATCAAGACATTTTTGATGGCTCACGTCGATTTGACCGAGAGAAATAAATGTTCAGTACGTGAATACTGTGATAGACAGGCGTCCTGTGCAGGGTGTGCACAGGATACGCGTATATAGATTATGATTTGACAAAAGGAAAACTTTGTTTTCTAAAACAGCGACATTGTTGGAATATTGGTATTGCTGCTATCTTGGCTAACAGTACTAGAATACCAGCATCACAGGTTAACAGCAACCAGCAGGTCAAAGGTCGGGGGCCACATTGCTGTTACAATAAAACGTGCAGTTAAAACTTAATAAAATGTAACACAAACATCTGAAACTGAAACTGTATCATGTGTCGAGCACATAACACAAAATAATTCAAGCAACAACTAAAGTTTAGGTGTAAGTTGTGCGATACGAAAATATGGGTATATTATATATTTATATTGGGTATCTGAGACCCTTCTAGTTCCCAGCAGTGTCCCATTCGCCATTTTTCAAGTCATGACCTGCCCAACCTGAGCCAGTCCATACAATAATGATAGCAATCAAACAGGCTTGTAATAGAATATATAATTATATATGTATATATAAATATATATATTAATGATTGGTACTTAGTATCCATCAGTATCCAAACATCTCTAAAATGCTGACATACTTTTTATTTTTAATTTACCTCATTTGTTTGGCCATGATTAGATTTTCAATTGTACTGAATACCATATCTAACAATCTTTAAACTATTGACTGTTTCATGGGTCATGTTTTTTCCATGGCAGACATCAAATTCCTCTCTAAACCAAACTACAGCATGACCAATGCAACATCCAATATATGACAGCTGCAGGACTTTAGACCTTGGACAGCACTATTTGACTGTCTGTAAATCATCAGCATGAACTGTGTGGTCAATTCCCAAACTCCCCCTCCTCCAACAACAACAACAACATTTGTTCCCCTTTTCTTGTATCTGGTGAAATAAATAAAATGTCAAGTCGAATAACCCTTCGGTCTGAGGACACCCTGGAGCCCTGCAGGCATCCCTGGACCTCAGTCTGCGGGACTCTCTGCATCTTGTGATCAACTTAAAGCCTGACCAATTTTTAAATGACATTTGAATACATTCTAAGTAGTTATATCACCACTGGTCGGGGGGGGAAAGGGAGGACTTGTGTCAACACCACTGCCAGCGATAATCTTCACTGCAGGCTACAGTGTCTGATATCAACAGGCCCTCGAGACACGTCCCGTTCACACCGCGCGCTAACCACGGGAGAGTGATGGTGCTCCGGAGCAGTCCGAGGAGCGCAATTACAATTTCTCTGCTGCCATTCAAACGCACGGAGGCTCCACGGAGAGGAGGATAGAGGCGGCAGGGGGAAAGGACGCCTCCGTTCATCCATCCATTCATCAAATCCTGCTCTCCGCACGCCTGGACATCCCGGGCGCCAGACTACACCACGAGCTCCGGTCCCGGTCGGTCGGCGAACAACGCTTATACCGGTGAGAGTCGGGAGGGTTTTTGGGGGGTGGTGGGGTTGGAGGGAGGCAGCTGGGAAGGACGCTTAGAGAGAAAAAAAGAGCCCGTCTGTCAGTGTTATTCCCCCCGGTGTGGATGTAGAGAGACAGAGGGGGAGTGAGGACCACCGCCGCAAAACTCTCCTCTTTCAGCCGCTCAGTGAACGCATTTTCCCGGTGAGTGGAGACACAATACGGTAGTCTATTTCCACAAATGGTTTCATGTTTGTTCCTCATTTCTAAAGCCAGTGTGGACTGTGTGTGTGTGTGTGTTAGCGGTGGGAATCTGTCTAACAGGGCAATTAGGGGCTACAAGCTCGCTTCGTGCTGAGATATCATGTATTTTAGTTTTTTAGCGAGAGGAGCGTTTTCTCATGGAGGCTGCGTTCAGGGGATTTTCTTTTTTGTATTTTTGCGACCTGTTTTTCTTGCTAGACATGTACACACACACACACA